CCGCCGCTGCTGGAGCGACATATCTTCACTCTTCCCTTTTGTATGCAACGCTTCTCGCCGTTGACCCTGATGATTTTTTAATTCGTTACCCTTATGTTGCTGAATCCGTCACGCTAGATCCTGAAAATCGTTTTGTGATTTTCAAACTACGACCTGAAGCAAAATTTCAAGATGGATCCCCAATACGAGCTGAAGATATCGTTTTTTCTTTTGAGATTCTTTTGAAGGAAAGCCTGCCTATTTTCAAAAGCTATTATCACGAAGTAACAAAAGTCGAAGCTTTAAACTCACTCACTGTTAAATTTTCTTTTCAGGAAGAGGCAACCAAGGAACTCCCGATGATTGTGGGTGAGATTCCGATCCTTTCCAAAGCCTATTACAGTAAGATCAATTTTAATGAGACATGGCTCACGCCGCCCTTAGGGTCAGGCCCTTATCGCATTAAAGAGGTTAATCCCGGAGACTCAATTACTTATGAGCGTCTTAAAAACTGGTGGGCAAAAGACCTCCCTCTTTTTAAAGGACGTTATAACTTTGATGAAATTGTTTACAAATACTACCGAGATGCAGGAATTATTTTTGAAGCGTTTAAGGCAGGAGACCATGATTTTCGTCGTGAACACAAGGCGCAAAATTGGGCATTAGGCTACACTTTTGAGGCTGCCCTTAAGGGTGACGTTAAACGTTTAGATCTTCCCCACAGCCGCGTTGAAGCAATGCAAGCCTTTATCTTTAATACACGCCGTTTTCTTTTTAAGGACCCAAGCGTCCGTAAAGCTTTGGCCTTAGCCTTTAATTTTGAATGGGCTAATAAGAATTTATTCTACGGAGCTTATCATCGCACATTAAGTTTCTTTGATAATTCACCTCTTGCTTCTAGGGGCCTCCCAACAGGCCAAGAGTTAGAAATTTTGATGGACTACAAAGGGCAACTCCCTGAAAATATTTTTACAGAAGCTTTTTCACTTCCTATGTACAAAAATCAACAAGATTTACGCCGTACCCTTGCCAAGTCTAAAGCTCTTTTAGAAAAGGCTGGTTGGGATGTCGTTGATGGTGTCCTTACTCACTTGGAAACGGGAACACCTTTTGTTTTTGAAATCTTATTGTTTGACGCTACGATGGAAAAGGTCATTCAAAACTTTGCTCGAAACCTAGAATATTTAGGGATTAAAGCTTCACCTCGTCGTGTGGATAGCAACCAATATGCCCGACGTTTTGAACACTTTGATTATGATATGATTATCAGCTTTTTCCCACAAATCCCCTCTCCTGGAACAGAACAGCTTAACTACTGGGGATCAAAATCGGCTGATGCTCCGGGGTCTTATAACTTAGCCGGCATCAAAGATCCTGCCATCGACCAATTGATTGAAAAGCTTATTAATGCTCCTACTCGCGAAGAAATCGTTGTGTGCACAAAGGCTCTAGATCGAGTGCTCTTGAAAGGTTGGTATGTTGTTCCCCATTGGCATTCCAAAGAAGATCGCATTGCGTATTGGGCCACGAAGTTAGCCCTACCAAATCACCCTTCTCCTCGATGGGGGCCGGACATTTATTCGTGGTGGTC